TTATGGGTGTCTGTTCCATACAGACTGCAATATGCAAAAATTCTTTGTCAAGATAAGGTATTTTTTATCACAGAATCTTAAATGTTAGAGACAGAGGGGGGGGAAAAAACCTAAAACTAAAACAAAAGAGCACAGCTTTTCCTCCCCAGCCCTGGCTGAGTGTCTCCCTGCTGCCCAGGAGCCGCTGGCTTTTGGGCTGGTGGCTGCACAGAACCTGGAGCTGCAGGATCCTGACCCAGTGATTCTTGAATGAATCAGTCATAACAGCGTTGGGTTTTGTATATTCCACGCACAGGGGCTCCTGCTGCTGTCCCTGGGAGCCTGTCCTACACGTCACTAGCTTGTTGCCTAAATTTTCTGCTATTTTTAATAGTCATTTGTTTGATTGCAGCAGTGAGTGAAGTTCCTGAGTAGCTGGGCACTAGGCAAACAGCAGAAGATAGTCATTACCCTAAATACCTTATAAAATCTGTTGTTCTTTTGGAGTTATCCTTCCATAAACAAGGTGAAATAATTCTTGTTCTTTCTTGGTATTTTTCTATTAAAAATCAAACACATCCAAGGTATTTTTTTTTATATAAAATTCAAACACGTCTGTTATAGGAGTTACTGGCTAAATGCTGTTCTCAGCTTGCCCTCCTCATTTTAGATGAGTCCCTTCTGTCCCCTTACCATTTCTGCTCCTCCTCTGACCTCCCACAGTTTGTCAATATCTCTTATTGTATCCAGCGAGACATATGAAGATACACCCACATCCCTTCCTTTTAATCTTTCTCTGAGGAGAACTGACTCACCAAGTTCAGTTTGTGTGTGAAAATATCTCTAGTAGGAAGGATATTTTAAGTTGTATAGCCTGGAAAGCTTCCTGACTGTTTTGTTGGGGTTATTGTGGAAGTTAAGAGACAAGTTATCTCCCTTGGCCGAGCAGTGGGATATTCTGTCACCAGAGAACATATGCTGAAGGGTAGTGTTGGAAAAGGTGTAAGAAATATTGCAGTGTGCTTGATTGCAGAGGTCTTCACATTTTTCAAGGCTTGAGTGTTGCTCTCTCATTTAAGAGGATGGTTTTATGCCTGGTCACTGCTCCAGTGATTTGTGCTGGTGTGATTATATCGCTCCTCCCATTGTCGGGGAGCACAGAGCATTTAGTTGACGTGAATTACCGGAGGAGTTGTGCAGCTCAGGAAGGCAGAGTGCAAGGGATGGTGTATCTGAGTGCTCTCACCTGCTCTCCTGAGGTTTTCTTTCTTGTAACCATCACAAAGCTGTGCCCTGTCTCATGCTAACCTTGAGGGTGTGCACCTGCTGTGCCCTTACTAAAGGGAAGGGACAGAATTGCTCAGCAGCACAATCAACTTCCCAGTCACGGGAAGATGGAAAATTTTCTTCTTGCCAGTGATTTATTTTTTCTGTACTGGTGGTATGCAGCCTTCCATGCTGCCCTGTCTCTGTCATCAGGTGGAGTCATAGATCCATAAAGTAACATCATCCTCGTGTCCTAATACTGCAGCAAGATCTGTACTTCAGCCAGGGATGATCCAGCATCTTCATGTTTCCTGCCTCATTTCAGGCAGCTGGGATGGGAGAAGGTGATCCTTTCTGCTCTCTCCGTGCCAGCAGGCTCTTCTGCACTCAGCTGCAATAGCAGGGGAGCTTAGAAGGTAACGACAGTTGTACAGACACAGCTGGATCTTTTGACTCTACTGCATCCAAAGGAAGTTTATTGTGTCACACTCATGTCAGGCTTAGGCAATGTCCAGCTGTATAACAGATGCAGATAGATTAAAATATTATTATTGTTTTCATTTTTTTTTAACTTGTATTTTTATGGGTCAGCATTCTCCTTCTCCCCCCAGGGATACAAACAGAATCTGACTGTTAGACTCGACATGCCCAGGCTGGGGATTCCCAATTCATATGTTAAGCCTGATGTGGGGAAACCCTTTGCTGGGATGGCATTTGTCTGCTTTCAGTAGGGAAGTAAACCCAGGAAAATATCAGCGTTCATTAGCAGTCAGTTAATGGTCTGGGGTTCTCTGCGTTCCAACATAGTTTCTCTATAAAGAAAATAAGCACCTTTGTTTCATATCTAATGATGCATCTGAATGTTGACTCATTAGTGTTCCAGGGTTTAGCAGAGCAACTGAGGGCTGAGTGGCTCTGAGCTGAGGTCAGGTGTGAAGCAACTTTGTAGGTCCCAAGCTCAGCAGTGTCTGAAAGCTGAGGCAGAGCTGGTGGCAGGGCTGGGGTACTGCTGAGACTTTTGTTCCCAGGTTGCTAATTCAGATTTGCTTGGTTGCCAATGTGAAATGGGATTTTCAGGATAGGACCTTGTGGACGAGTGTCTCTGAAAGCAAATTTTATAACTGGTACCAAATGGGCCTTTGTTGGCAGTTTCAATAGTGAAGCCCAGGATTTGATACTCCAGAGCATCAAATTCTCCTTCCTGGAACAAATCCTTTCAAATAACAGCTGAAGCCTGTTTATTAGACAGTGCAGAGATGCTCCCTGCACACATTTTAAGCATTCTACATAAAAATAAAGGATTTTAGGTTATGTCTTCATAGATGTGATGGAGCTTCATGAAGGGATGTCCTGAAAAGGTTAGGCAAGGTGCTTTAGTTTGGGATGCTGTGTTCATGTGGCTGTACTGAGATGGGTGGTAAGCATCCATAGGCACTGTTGTGTTACACCCTGTGAACACATGGATCTGCAGAGCCAGGGCAGGGCTCCTGGTCAAGCTCAGTAACTTTTATGAACCAGGGTTTCACATGGAGATTTTATGAATGTTAGAAATAGGGATTTTCCTCATGTGGACCATAACTTCCTTTCAGTACTGTCTCTCTCCTCTTTGGAGATTTTACTGTCTTTATATGAGAGCTTTAGGTACAAAAAAATTAGATTAATCTGAAACCAATCTGAGGGTGTGAAATAATCCAGTGTCATTCCAAGAAATCTTTGGAGATATTTGGAACAGCTTTAAACAACATTTGACAAGGAAATATAGGTTACATTTTCCCATTTGTACCAACTCTCCTTCCTAATTTCAGGATGTGCAACCAACAAAGAGTTCATTTAGTTGAGTATTCTTACTTGTTTGTGCTATTCCTGTATTTATTAAATAAATTCCATTAACTCCAGCCAAGAACTGTATTTCTTTCATCCAGGCCTGCAGAGCAGCAGAGGTGCTTTGGAGCACCGAACCATGCACGATGCCATTTGACTCACATAAAAGGACTGTAGATGGTTTTAAGTCCGTGGTTTCATGGTGCTTCCAGGGTGCTCAGCAGTTGTGAGCATGGTAATAAGGTTTAAGTGCCACATATGTTTTGAACAGTTGCTTGGCTCTGCAGCAGCTTCGTTTTAAACTAAACTTCCCTTGAATCTCTCAAGTTCAAGAAATAGCTTGGTAGCTTGGCTAGTACAAGATGTTGATCCTACACTTAGTCCTCCCTGGCTGCCACCTTTGGCTGATCTGGGGTCCTTTGCAGAATATTTTACAGATGGAATCTGTGGAATAATTTACAGAATTGCTTTACAACTATCCTTTTGTGAGGGGGAATGTAGGAGCAAACCTTCTAGGAAAAACTTCTTTCCTGTGAGGGTGACAGAGCCCTGGGACAGGCTGCCCAGAGAGGTTGTGGAGTCTCCATCTCTGGAGATGTTCAAACCCACCTGGATGTGATTCTGTGCAACTTCCTCTAGGTGAACCTGCTTTGGCAGGGGGGTTTGACTAGGTGATCTCCTGAGGTCTCTTCCAACTCCCTACGAATCTGTGATTCTGTGACTGCCACAGTAGGACTGAGTTGCACCGTGGAAGTGAAGTTTCAGAGTAGATATTTGGTGTTTTTCTCTGCCTGTGGGAAGGTGAAAGGATTTGTTTTAATGATGATAAAAACCTGACGCTTTGCACTGTAGCGTGTATTCACTTTGTTATGCTTCCCTCTATGATGAAAGTACAAGGATGTATGCTGGGTTTTTTTTTTCCTGTCCTTCATCTCCTGCTCTATACTGTCTGGCTAAGCAATATTTTCTTTCCTGTATCTATTTCCATTGTATTAAAATTTTGAGGGAGGCTTCTTAAATGCCAGCCCTTAGATATATAGCTACAGTGTGATGTTTCTTCCCTTACAAGAAAAATTATCATGTCCAGTCATCTTGTCTGGAAAATTAGGCTAAAACAGGAATCTTTTCTGCTGTAAATTCAGTGCTCTACCAGAAATAAGCAGAATACATGGAGAAGATGCATTCACAACAAAAAAAAAAGAATAAAATGCTGATAGCCTCACTATTCTGCAATCAGTACAGTCAGTGAGGTCCTGGTACCCCAGGGAGGATCCTTCAGGAGCCTGAAATAGCTCAGTCAGTAGAGCATCCATCTCTCTGTCTGAGCATATAGGATCTGAATTCCTGATCAGGTACAGACTGTGATGTTTATTACTTGCCAGAACAACTCAATGTATAATAATAAATTTTAAGTTCATCATTTCCAGGAGAAATGGCTAAAGCATCTAACAAATCAGCTGGCACTCGAAAAACAAGTGTTAATGCTAAATGATTTATACCAAACATCTGATGTTCCAGCTCTTACTTCGACTAAACTCCCAGGGAATACAAAAATAATTTCCTCTGTAGAAAGTGTGAGGTTTTAGCCTTTAAAGAGTTTAATGTTATAGCCAAATAGAGAGAGAGCAGTTCAGGCAGAGGGAAACTGTTTGAGCTCAAATATTTTCTCTTGTCCTCTCATTTAGAGTGTGGAAATAGTGTGTTTCCAAGTGCTTGGGATTTAGCACCTGTGTTTTGGGAAAGCAGTGAGTCTTGCTGGATATTTGGATGTCTCAACTCAGACACACCCTTTTCTTTGAACAGACATACCTTGTGTTAACTTTTCCCCTTTTGTTTATAGTTGGCAATGAATGTCAAATGCTCTTCTCTAGGAAATGCATGACCTTTTATACTGTTTCTTTTGCTTGATTGGTAATATGTTTCCCTTACCAAAGATAAAGCCACTAACCCATCTAACAGGCAAGAAGACTGGGAATACATCATTGGATTCTGTGACCAGATCAACAAAGAACTTGAAGGGTGGGTGTCCCAAACTGCTCTAGACTTAATAAATTAATGTTCACACTGTAAAATATATAATTTGATCATAAAACTTTAATGTTTTATTTTATTTATACTGGTATCACAAGGAAGATCTGGCTGCAAAAGAAACAACACACTGTAAAACGTGGTTTCTCTTTTGGGAAAGGCAGCATGGCTTATACACAGACTGAGCATGAGGAAGATGGGAATTCTGAATCTGCCTCTGTCAGCTTCTGCAGCTGCAGGGTTCTCCTCTGGCCAAAGTTATTCTGTTTGCCAGTCTGTAAAATGGGGTTATAATCCTTAGTGCCTGACGGGGCTTTGCGTCTTTAAAATCTTTACAAGGCTTAACTGAGGAAACCTCCTGGGTCACAGCGTTCCTGTGAGCTAAGGAAGAAGTGTTTTCTTCTGGAAAATGGAAACTAAAGCAAGAGAAAGGAAGTGATTTCCTGGGCTGGGGACTGCACTGGGAGTTGTTTGGCCCCTCCCAAGCAGGAATCTGGAATTGCTGGCTCAGACTACCAGCCCTTGCTTCCTTTCATATGTGCAAACACCCAGGCTTACAGAGATGCCCTGAACATCTTTTGTTAGCCACTGATGGCAAGATAAAAAGTACTAAATGGCATTTCCTGTTAATTATGTGAAAGGTATCTCGTTGAAACAGTAGAATTTCTGCAAATTCTCAAAACCCTTCAACGTGTTTGCCTGCTTTGTTTGTAATGGAGATCTGCTTTGTTTCAGGCCACAGATAGCTGTGAGGCTTCTGGCTCATAAAATCCAATCACCACAGGAATGGGAGGCAGTCCAAGCCTTGACAGTAGGTAGTCCTTACCCCTCCTCTTAAATCCAGTTAGGTAGCATTTGATGTCACCTCTGCGGAGTATAAGGGGGCACAACGTGTGTCAGTGGGGTTAGCTGGGGCTGAATGCCCTGATTCCCCTTTGCTGGGAGGGAGTGGACAGTGAGAGGGAGGGTAGTCAGGTAACTGAAGTGTCCAGATTACTCATTAGCAATAGAGCAGTCAGAAATAATTCTGGTTTTATTTTAGCTGCTTTTGTTTGTTATCTTCAGGTAAGTTTTGTGTTCGTTGTTACGAGACCTAATGGTGAGATAACTTAGAGCCATGTAGACATGGCTGAGGGTGGGGAAACCAGCCTGTCTTGATGTGTCACCCCTAAAGATGGGAGAGTCACGCTGCAGAGCAGAAATACATGTCTCACTGACACGGGTCCTTCAGTTGCCCTATAAGCAGAACACAACTCTGCTGTTCTGTAGGGTTTTGGTGTTCATTTCAGCCCGTTTTTGTTACTTGAATGCAGGTGCTGGAGGCTTGTATGAAGAATTGTGGGAGAAGATTTCATAACGAAGTGGGGAAGTTTCGCTTTTTAAACGAGTTAATAAAAGTTGTGTCTCCAAAGGTTAGTCCCTGAGCCTCATGGCTGCATTTACTTTTTGTTTGGTCTCCCTAAGCTACAGGCAACATCCAAAATGTTTGCAGTGCTCTGTCTGGCTCATTGCATTTATTAGCTTATATCCAAGAGCATTTGTTATCCAAGTCTGGTTTTTTGGTGATTTATTTGTTTGTTTGGGGGGTTTTTTTATGCTCTGCTTGCTATTTTCCTCAGTAAGTTGTACTTATTTACCATCAGTATATAGTCTTTGTACTGTTCTAATCCTTCATGAAACTCAAGGGCTTTTAAAGCTTGGGCTGTGGTTTTTTTTTTGAAAAATAAACAAAACTTCAGCGTCAGTGGAAGAGAGATATGATGCAGAGGTTAAAACAAGAGACTTGGCAACACACCATAGAGTTCTAGTCCTCACTTTTGCTGTGTAAAGTGTGCCTGACTAAGTGCCTCAACATTCATGATCAGTTTAACGTGGTGAAAAATAGACAGAAGCACCTCATGGCATGATTGATGCAGCGAAGTGTTCCCAGATTCTTTCCCATAAGACAGGGAAGGGGGTGGTTATCTGTATTGCTGTAATTTTTTAAATAGCAAAATCCTGAAACCAACAGAATAGCTGTTTTTCTTTTGCTGAAGATAATCACAAAGCTTTTCTTCACTGTTATTTCAAATACATTAGAGGAGCATTTTTTCCTCTTAATAAGATGTATCTTAGATCATCTTGAAACTTGGGTTATAAACCTTTCAGTGTATATCACTGAACTTCCATTCTCTGTGTTTCGGCTTTATTTTTAAAAAGAAATGAAAAATTTACATCTTTTTTCCCACTTTTAGTACCTGGGAGACCGAGTCTCAGAGAAAGTGAAGACCAAAGTCATTGAATTGCTGTATAGCTGGACAGTGGCATTGCCAGAAGAATCCAAAATCAAGGATGCCTACTATATGCTGAAGCGACAAGGTAGGAAGTCAGCTGCTCCTTCCTGCATTCTCTCCAGCCTGTGCTTTAAGCAGGATAGTCACAAAATATACAGCTTCTAATTACATGGAGACAAGGCAAGCTCTGAGGGGAGACAGAACAAGGGAGAAATTCTCTGAAAAGCTTCTCATTAAATTTAAATACCTTGGGCTTTTTTTTTAAATAGATTAGTTAAAACACTTTGCAAATACTTTTGTTTTTGGTTTGCAGGGTCTTTCTTGAGTTTTTCTGGAACTAGTTATTAAATTATTTGAACAAGTCTTAATTTAAAGTGAAATAAGATCTTCCACGTAGCCTTTTGTGTTCTTTTAACTAGGTCACTTTACAATTGAACATTTAGTTCAACTGGTACAAGTTTCTTGTGTAGGCACAGTGAAAAAGGCTCAGCTGAGAAGCGTGCAGCTTCAACACAAGAAAAATTTGTTCCAGGAAAGCTCTTGAGGTAGAGCACAAATCTGAGGATTTGACAATGGAACAAGCAGGGAGCTTAACTCTTTCCTTTTCCCACTCGTGGGTAGGAGCCTGCCCATCACCCCACTTTGCATTGCTGTCTGCTTTCCTGCTCAGCTCATTTGTACAAACAAATGTTGTGCCCTTGAGTTTGCACAAAGCTGGGTTGTCTGAGACTTCACTTAGTGGTTCAACAACGAAGTGAAAAGGGGGAAAGACAAATAGTGGAGAGCTATTTGATTATCCTGAGCTGTATAGACAGGGCAGTATGGACAGGGCAACAGATTTTCTGGTGTTTTTGCCTTTATCAAACTTTCTTTGTTTTTCCAGCTAGCATGCTTGGTGATTCTGAGTCTATATTGTTCATTAGAACAGTGTGCTGGGACGAGTGGACAGACTGGCTGCCTGTGTGCTTTGATAGCAGCCCCTGAGTAACAGAGCACACTGCCTGGTGTGACTGCACATGCAAACCCATGTGGGGTCCCTTTCTGCTTTCAGGGATCGTTATGTTTGATCCTGTGATTCCTGTAGACAGAACCCTGATTCCTTCTCCACCGCCTCGTCCCAAAAACCCCGTGTTTGACGATGAGGAGAAATCGAAGGTACAGTGAAGACTTGTACTGGAATCACTAATGAAAAGCGATTATTCAATGCACATTTAGAATAAGGAAGTAAAGTATACTAATTCAGCTTTTATTTTTGGGGTGGTGGTGTGTACTTACATAGAACTCATTGCTTTGTCCACCTACCTGACCTGAAGTTCCAGCTAAGTCCTTGTCTGTTACCGTTATGAGGTTATTACTGCTTAAAGTGCCATCCTGCCATTGTACTAGAATCATAGAATGGTTGGGGTTGGAAGGGACCTTAAAGCTCATCCAGTTCCAACCCACCTGCCAGCAGCAGGGTAGACCAGGTTGCTCAAAGCCTCATCCAGCCTGGCCTGGAACACTTCCAGGGAGGGGGCATCTACAACTTCCTTGGGCAACCTGTTCCAGTGTCTCACCACCCTCACAGTGAAGAACTTCTTCCTAATATCTCATCTAAACCTCCCCTCTTTCAGCTTAAACCCATTTCCCCTTGTTTTGTCAATAATTGCCCTTATGAAAAGTCCTTCCCCAGCTTTCTTGTAGCCCCTTCAGGTACTGGGAGGCCACTATAAGATCTCCCTGGAGCCTTCTCTTTTCCAGGCTGAACAGCCCCAACTCTTTCAGCCTGGAAGGCAGAAAATGTTTCATACACAGGACCAAAAATGATGTATGGGAGGAATAATTATCCAGTGTCAGAAGTGTCTGAGATTTCACACTGTATGTCCTGTGTAGAAGCAAAAATGCAGCAACTCACATAAAATAATAAGCCATAAATGACTCCTGCTGAAGTCACTGCAGCAATGAAAGCAGCATAAGCTTTGGGAGCAGTGAGCTGTATCTCTTTTCTCCTGAATTGTTCACTTAGATTCCTTTCGCTGCTTCCTTTTGCCAAAGCATCTTTATTTGTTTCCTGAATATCCTCTTCTCGTCTTACAGCTTCTAGCCAAACTGCTGAAAAGCAAAAACCCAGATGATTTACAGGAGGCCAACAAGCTTATAAAATCCATGGTAAAAGAGGTAAGAAATTCCTGTAGGATTGGTCCTAGTCAGCACTCTGCTTTCCAGATTTTAAACAATTTGACTTCAAAATGGTGGAGAGCTTTAGGATCATGTGAATGGCAGAACCTGGGTTTTTCAGGCACCAGGAGCATTGTGTTAGTACATTCCTTAGTTAAATTGTAGGGACTGAATGAGACTGACCATCAGCCACACCCAGCCTTTTATTACTTTTTAAACCCGCTAACAGTGCTAACTTATCTAGTATCTAGATAACTTCTAGTTCCCATGGTTACCCACATAAAGGGGGTGCCATCTGATGATTTAGCAGGGCTCTGTCTGATATGAATGTGTTGAAATTTTGACTCTAGTTCACAACTGGGAGACGTTTGTATCACAGAAATGTCTACAGTTGGTGTCTCTAGTGGAGGACGAGGCAAGAAGGGGCAAGGATTTAATGCCCCTCGTTGTAATTAGCTATGTTCTCATCACTCAATATGGTATTTCACGTCAGATCATGGTACCACCCCTGAACACTGAGGACTGAGTCATTGGACTGGATCTTCTCACAAGCAGGCTTTATGGAAACACCCTCCTGTGTGTAGAGCTGTGATGCATCCCCCCATGGCAGTCGTTAGGAACTCTGGAGTCCGGGAAATGACTCGCTGTGTTTCTGGCAAAACCAAAAGGATAGCTTCTAGTCTGAAGAGGATGTATAGGTTACTGTGATGTTTCCATTCATTCTTCTCCTGTCCTCAGGGCAGGCTCTCCTACATCTTTAGTTGGACTCTCAAAACAGAGATGATTGGACATATTCTACCAGAGTGTACTTGTTGTTCCTAGTAAATGTTTTGTTTCAAACACATCTTTTTTATAAAATGGCATCAAGTGACCAAGAAAAAAAAAATATTCTAAAAAATCAGAAAGGAACTTTTCTATTTTTGGTGGTATAATTATACAGTAAAGTCAATGTAATGAGACTTTTTGGAAATAAAGGGTTTTCTATCATTACAGAATAGTGGTCAAAAGATAAGAAAATAAGCAAAGCTTCACATGAACGGAGAGGGGTTTTTGTTTTTTGGGTTTTTTTTTCCCTTTAGCTTAACCTTAAATAGACACTACTTGACATGATTTACAGATAATACCTGCTCTTGTGACACCATGAACCTTTACAGGGAAACTCACTTTTTCTGTCTGTGTTTTACACCCTGAAGGACGAGGCTCGGATTCAAAAAGTCACAAAACGCATGCACACGCTGGAGGAAGTAAACAACAACGTCAAGTTGCTGAATGAGATGTTGGTTCATTACAGCAAAGACGACTCGTCAGAGGCTGATAGGGAGCTCATGAAGGTAGGTCTGAGGTGCTCCTTCTTCCCAGAAATCCTGCAGTCAGTCCTTTCTTCTTACAGACTTGAGTTTTGCAGCGAATTACAAACAGTGCACTGAAATGGAGAGCAATGGTGAAAAACCACAGCAGTTGTTGGAAACAGCAGGAAAGAGAATAACTGTGTTTTTAATGCCTTTCACCAAAGGATCCAGTGGGTAATAGCTTGGTTTTGCATGTCCTTGCAGTGAGGTACAGCTGTTCTCCAATGGTGCAACGTGGCAGAATCACAAAGCTGCAGTTTGAAATTCTTGCTTCTATTAGGACACACTGATTGCAGGTCCTACCCGTCCCTTACAGCACCGTGGAGGGTAAACTGGAGGCTGAATGGGGCAGAAAACGATGTCCTCCTTTTCAAAGGAATAGTTTTAACTAGTGTTATAAGGTTGGGAGATCACTAAGGAGGTAAAAATCAACACAGCCACCAGGAATGTTTGGATAGACCCAGGACCTTGAAGAGTTGCACCTTATCTAATTTAAAAAGTTAAAACTGCTAATTTTTACAACAAGCTCCTGAAACAATAGTAAGAAGCTTAAGAAACTGGTTTATTTCTGTGAAACATTTCCTTCTTGCCACCTTTCTTCTATGTGGTCGCAGACTCTCCGAGCAGTGGTTGCAGCACAGTTGTTGAAGCACAATTCTGCTCTTCCTCAGACATTTAGGGACTGCTGTTATAAAAACAACATCTCTTTTGAACTAGAGCTGGCCATAAGTGCTGATGTGAGGGAGAACTTAGAGATGTTGTGTTGAAAATGCAGACTGTGTTTAGGCTCCCAGGCTAACATAATGCTTCACAGCTCTCTTAATGCGGCAGGGACTCGGGGGCTTGAATGTCCAGCCACATTGGCATGTTCAGCACAGGGAGACTGGTTTCCCTGTTCTGGGCTTTCCAGTTCGTGCCTGGGGAGTCATTCTGTGCTGACTGGTG